GGTAAACGAAAGATGCGTGGTGCTGCGGGAAAACTTCGGCAGCGTATTTTGACTGAAAATATTACAAATGATCATTATTATGTCGTGATGCCGCTGCTCTATCACTGCCATTGCTAATATGAGACAAGACTGTCCTGAGGTTTCACAAGGGTATATTTTTGATGCATGCTGCAAAGGTGGGACATAAGCGCTCAGGGGAAGAACCATACCGTTCATCAGCGGACCCGTCATCTAGCGGTCAGCCAGAGCACTGCAGCTTTCAAGCTTCCACACAGATGACCTATGTTCTCGCTGGCGTCGGCGCGAGTAACGTCATACCAATGTCCATGCAGGATTGTCAGACATGCCAGGACAAGCTGTATAGAGGACCTCTTAGAAGAATAAGAAAATCGTCGAGCAGTTCTAAATCTATGTAAAACTGTTCGGAAAATCCCACGTCACCTTAGCTTAACATTAACGTAACATGCTCGATGGTACAACATATCAGTGCGAACTAGTAGACAGTGGGGTTTCACAGGGGACGGTGTTGGGCCCTTTGCTTTTTATTGCTTTTTGTAAATGGTATTGAGATAGGATTAGGGAGAAAGGTGCTAGAATTTGCTGACGATATCAAATTGGTAGGGCTTTCAAAAAATCAACTTGCGTTAAATTAACTAGTGAACTAGGCTTTTCTGCAGCAAATGTCATTGTATTATGATAAATGCAAGGTGATGTATGTGGGTAGTTTTAGCAGTGAGGGCATTACCTATGAAATGGGAGGCCGGGAGTTTGGCCAGATTAAGGAAAAAAAGGACCTAGGGGTTGCTATTTCTATGCATTCAAAGGGTGAAAAGTAATGCGGAGATGCTATGAGCAAGGCACTTTGGATGCTGGGATTATAGAGAAGAATGTTTATTATAAGAGTAGGAATGTGATCAAAAGTTTGTACTTAGCTTATGTGAGACCACATCTAGAGTGCTGTGTTCAAGCTTGGTCCCCGTGCTTCCAACAATATGAAGATAGACTGGAAAGAGTGCAGGGAAAAGGAGTTAGAATGATAAATGGGATTGACGACTTAGAAACTTAGAATCTAAGGATAGGCTTAGGGTCTTGGACTTGTATTCATTGAAGTATCGTATGCTTATAGGGGATCTGGTATAGCAGATTATGATATGAAGATAATGAAATGGATAGGCCAGGTAGATCTACATGGAGCACTGGAAATCAGACCGAGACATAGGTGGAATTAATTTTATGTAGCGAGAGGTAGGAGTACAGTTGTGAAGAGGCAGATGTCATTCAGTCAAAGAGGCGTGAGCCATTAGAATGGGCTGACAAACGAAGTTGTACAAAGTCCCTCTGAAGCAACATTTAAAAACCGTTTGGACAAGTTCCATGGGTCAAAAGATCTCATTTATAGCTAAATATATGCTGGTCAGGGGATTTGTTTCGAGGATGTGTACAAAACCTGAGGTAGGCCAACCTGGGTGGCCCCCTGCGGCTCTTTTTTGGCCGGATATACTCATGTCTTGGACATATTCATGTCATGTGTTTGCTGGGGATTTCAACATCTCTTTCGTGAAAGCTTGTCAAAACGCCAGAGATTGCTGCCTCAAATAGCCGCCACGTATGACATGCTTGTGGCCAACGATGTTCATTCCACCTGTCGCCCAGCGATCTCTGCTAGATGTGATCAGCACCAGTCGTCCCGATCTCGGGCGCAGGGCCCTAGTGACGCGGTGCCATTACGGCGGCGCCACGATTTCACGTGCATCAGCATGCGTCTCGATAGCCAGGGGGCATCCACTTATTCTCATACTCTACGTCGCTGCATTGGCCAAGTTCATACGTTCATACGGGCGCCTTTAACCAGCAGCTGCCCGAGACTGATTGGATGCCAGCTTTATATGCTGATGCCTGCTGACCTGAAATGACACGCATTCCAGCGAACATTTCTGTAACAGTAAGGCATGGTAGCCTGGCTCCGACGCACGTGTGCCATGTGTGTACGACGCATGTGACAACGCACAACCCAGCCTGTGACCACAAATATCCAGCGGCTGCTGCGGCGCCACCGCGCGGCTCTGGTGGCAGACCATCGCCCACGGTGTAAGCCGACTGTCCCATTACGGCATCAGGTTTTTCGGTCGCCGCTATAAGTGTGCCAATTAATGCTGGTGAGTCGTGCGCAGCGGCGTTTTTCGAAGCTACGACGTCAAATTTAAAATAGTTCTTGGCGTGCGCGACGGGTACGACCACATGCAGTCGATGTCGTTGTGATAACTCCAGCCGCCGGTAAGGTAAGTCGCTGATCGGCTGGCGTTACCTAGTTTGTTCTTATCAGCCCCTTACCGCGCATTACTGAGTGCAGCTGACCGGACCGTAGTGTCATGGCCAGCATACGACGGCACCGAAGCAATACCCATAATCAAGAGCGATAAGTGCGAGCGCGCTTAATCAAAAGCACTACTTTTGACTATTGCCTGGCACTGCTACACACTAGTACAATGAAGACATCCTATTTATTCGGCTGACTCCCAGAAAGACCACCACTCAATTCTGCCCGTCCGGCCGCAGCGACAACACGAAAAAGTAGTGCAGCCAGCATAAAACTCATGCTCGGGTGCAGCGGGCGTGACTGGTTGCACATAATATCATCGTGACCGGCAATATGAATTGGTTATCCGCAGACATCTCGCTAGTTGTTCGTACGACCCCTGAGTACAAAGTACTAACGGTAGCCGGCCGGGCCGCAACGTGATGGCCAGCATACGGTTACTCACCAACAATACTGATGATCGCGCCCGAAGGCTACCACTGTGTGTCCTCAATAGCACTGCTTTTGGGATATCAGCAGGTGCTGTGACACGATGGTCCAGTCAAGGCATTTATTTCGGTCGGTTGACCTCCTGATGACCCATTACTCGGTACTGACGGTCTGACCGCAGCGGCAATTGGCAATGTCACGGCGGCAAATAAACAAAATAGTGTCGTACTTGGCGGATGGGACCGTGTCCACACGACATTGTTGTACCAGATGTACATCGATCATTGCTCGACACCACCTTTTTTTTCTTCACATGACCCCCTGACGGTTCATTAATAAATGTGGCTAGCCGACGGGCAGGGTGTTGTCCGTGTATGGTACGGCAGCACGGGACAAAGTCACACATTTGCACGCGAAGAGCGCGACCATATGCACGCGATAGCGCTGCTGTAGGACCACCGGTTGGAGTGAAGGAATCCACGTGATTTGGTTGAGCCCCTAAAAGCGCATCACTCAATAGTAGTAGGCCGCCCGCCGAGGCAATTTACAAAGTAGTACTGAAGCCAATTAAAGGTGCTATCGTGCGTGTCCGCTTTACTTGTGCTTAGAGATGATGACCTAACATGATACATCCTAAATTGCCTAATTTGGCGTCATGTGAAGACTTAGGTCTTTGGAATTGCGTCCGTAGCGGAAGGTACTCTTGCTGACCTTGTTTCCTTTTGTGACTCATTTTTCAAAAGACCATGGGAAATGAAAATCATACTTCACTTGCCACTGCTTCCAGACAACGGCAAAAATTGTCAAATATTGTTGCTTTTAAAGTAATCGGTACTGCGTAACGCATCTACAACGTTACCCTAAATTACTGTATATCTACCTGAATCAAGTCCCACCTATCGTAAGACGTTGTTAGTGCTCCACTGATGGGCGCGCACGATTATGGAATTTTAAAGATATCTCTTTTCTATCCAGAACGAAGTGCCATACGTGGAACTACATTGTGCCTTTTTGAGTTGACGGGGCACGTGAGGTATCTAGTCAAAATATTTCAGATCTACGTCTAGGAATGTTGAGTCCTTTTTCCTCTCCTCCCGTCGTTATAATGTACTAAATGTTGTAATGACGAACATGTCTCCTGTTGTGAGCACGCCCAGCCGGCCCGGCGACACAGCATGCCGTCCCTGCCGTGTCGCGGCGCGGCCTCGGCCGCGCGGTGGAATGCGACCTACCACCGCGGGCGCTGACCGCCGTCCCGTGGCGGACCGTGCGGGACGCGTGGTAGGTGTGCGCGTGCTAGCCCAGTGTAAGCTGACTTATGAGTGGTTGTTCACCCTAACTGAATGTAATGTCGTGCCTGCCTGGGATAGCAGGGGCAGGACGCCACTGGACTCGGTCCAATATAGATCGCCGCGTCGCTATACGTCTCTCTCTGACCGAGGGTGTCTGTAGTACCGTCTGCGTTAACCACTACGCATCTGGGAGACCAGGGGTACAGGGTTTGATTCCCCGCGGTGTCCGCCCTTCCTGCCATGATGAGAGGCAGGCGACGCCATAAAGCCTCAGCAGCTAAGTGCGTCGTAAACCCCCAACAACACACACTCTCTCTGACCAAGCTGAGCTGAACCACTGGACGAAAACATAACATGACCCTCATAAAAACTGATATAACAATGCTGCCGTATGGCCTCGCAATGCAGATTTAAATCACCTTAACGTGATTTTAGAGTTCTTATTTTCTCAGTTCACATTTGGAATCATTGAACGTCATGTAAGTGTATTGTCAAAGTACACAGTACGCATTTTTCACGAGCCCATAAATTACAACATCAGTCATTCCGCAAACACTCGGCGATAAGGCAGCATTTGTCACAGGTCATGCATTTAAACGACCAGATCTAGGCAGGTTCTGCAGTTTGAACAGAATAATAGCACTTACCGATCCCCGATAAAATGATAGCCCTAGGCGGTAGCCTCACTGCCAACCAATCGTGTTGGCAGTGATACAAATAGCCTTGCCGTTGAAAATTGAAAACATCAACGATGCTGGCGTCGCCTAGTAGCCGTATATCACCGGTGGTGGCGCCGTCTGGCAGCCCAACGTCACCGGTGGTGGCGCCGCTTAGTGGCCGTGTATCACCGGTGGTGGCGCCGTCTAGCAACCAAACGTCACCGGTGGTGGCGCCGCCTAGTATCCGTGTATCACCGGTGGTGGCGCCGCCTAGTATCCGTGTATCACCGGTGGTGGCGCCGCCTAGTATCCGTACGAAGCTCTGGGCTCAGGTCCCGAGGCGGCACCACTGAGCTCTGGCTCCTCGTACTGAAAAGTGTGGCACGTGTCAGACGTCTCTAACTGAACCGGATCTTTGGAGCGGTATTACAGAGCAGAGTCTATGACCTGCCTTCCGAGCCTGCCAACCCTGGCACAGCCACACTCAATGGCAACCAAGCACGGTGCTACCTTTCTTTCCGCAGGATGCCCCAATTACCAACAGCTGCAATCCATTACTCCAACTGCACGCCTCGTTTTTCGGGCCAGTTGCAGTCATTTAGTCAGAGAAACCACATAACTGTGGACCCATTTATACCTATATATATATATATATATATATATATATATATATGTATACATCAACCAATTTTACCTCAAACTCAAGCTTCATCTTGACCGGTGCAATTGCTCGCTCGCACCCACCAAGATGTGTATCTATGCAGATGTATCGGTAGTGATATGTAGGCAAAATCCACGCAGATACTAGGCCAAACTAATCACAGGATCAGTGCTGTCATACCCGAGACCTCGTCGGGCACATATGACCTCGGGTTTTAAGAGGCCAAACGGCGTGCGACCATATGCATTGGGCCGAAAAGAGAGCAGTTGATCTACGTGCTCTCATGGGTGCCAAGATTTAGAAGTGGCTCTATGACTGCATGTTAATAAATTCGCAGACATCTCGCTTAAGGCCGGTGTGTATAATTTTCAGCTTCAGTTAGAATTGAAGTCGTGCTGGGTAAAACAAAGAGTGTACAGTTTTAGAAAGCCCAGTACATGTACATATAGACGTAGGTACACATTCAAGCGCGAGTTGTACCCCCTGATGTTACACAGGAAGAAAAACACATGCGCAGCAACATTACCTGGATGTCGACAACGAAGCCGGAGTCTCCGTCCACGGAGTAATTGACAATCTGCATCCTGCCGTCCGGCATCAGCACGTAATAGGAGCCCGAGGTGCTGTCACCGTCTCGGGTCTCCTGCTGACCGAAGTCGTTGCCGCTCTCCTCGTCCTTCACGGCGTACTCAAAGTTGTATGCCGCCGGCTCCTGTGAAAAAGAACTCTAGCATGAGCAGAAAAGCATCGCTCACACAATTCAAAGTTGTCAATCTCAGCATATAGCTTGATCTCTTGATTATTGTGTGATTTGATGCGATAATATAACACCATTAGTTGAATCGATGTGTGTGCGCGCGTTACTCAACGGTTTTGTATTTTTAACTCTGAATGGCTTTTCTTCAACTAAGTGTCCTCACAACATAGTTCCCATGCATTACCTCAGCAATGTTAGGCTCCGGTCCCGAAGCGGCACCAGCGGGAGCTCCATAGCTGGACCGGACACTGGGATCCGGTCCCGAAGCCGCAGCGGGAGCTCCATAGCCGGACCGGACACTGGGATCCGGTCCCGAAGCCGCAGCGGAAGCTCCATAGCCGGACCTGACACTGGGATCTGGTCCCGAAGCCGCAGCGAGAGCTCCATAGCCGGATCTGACACTGGGATCCGGTCCCGAAGCCGCAGCGGGAGCTCCATGGCCGGACCGGACACTGGGACCCGGTCCCGAAGCCGCAGCGGGAGCCCCATAGCCGGATCGGACACTGGGATCCGGTCCCGAAGCCGCAGCGGGAGCTCCATAGCCGGACCGGACACTGGGATCCGGTCCCGAAGCCGCAGCGGGAGCTCCATAGCCGGACCGGACACTGGGATCCGGTCCCGAAGCCGCAGCGGGAGCTCCATAGCCGGATCGGACACTGGGCTTTGGTCTCGAAGCCGCAGCAGGAGCTCCATAGCCCCTTGATCTTGAGACACTGTGTGCGGCCGTTGCCGCAGCGGCGGATACAGGGGGAGGAACACCGGAGAACCCGCTGAAGCCGCCACGGTTTTCAGGCCTAGCAATGGCAAGGCCAGTAGCAACAAGGACTAACAGAACCTGAAAAGGGGAAAGGTAAACAATCGCACGCCTATACCGGAAAGTGCGTTCTCTAAAACAACACATGGACATAAGCCACGAGCGGGGAACAATGACGTGGGGATTTTGGCTATAACAATTTCAAATCGACGTTAAGTTAAGCTTCCCCTGCTCTGTTCTCAAGACACGTCGGAGCCCGCATCACACCTGCATACTTCGTACTATAGCTTCCGTTCCCCGTCGTTCGCCAATGCCGTTACCTTCATGCTGGTGTTTGTCGCGCCGCACTGAAAGGACTCTGCAGCAGATGGTCCGATTGAAGTCTGATGGTGCCCGCTGCTCCGCCAACCGCTTTTATCCAGCGCTGGCCGGCGGAGATGGCGCGCTGGTCGGCAGGCCAGGGTCACGGGCCCGGCCAGAGGGCGAGCGCCCTGCTAGTTTATCGAGTTGACACAGAGAAACATCGGCCACGGCCGGCGGGGCTGGGTGGCTGCCGGGAGGCCGGGGTAATGACTGCCCCACTGAGTGGCTGCCGGGAGGCCGGGGTAATGACCGTCCCACTGATTGGTCCTGCTCTGCTATCTCGCTGTGGACGGGGTGCATCGGAGAGTTTACGGTGTGGATGGTGATTGTAAACACACTAATTCATTCGCTAGGCTTGCGCTGCTCGCATGACGTCACACCAGCTCTGGTATGACAGCAGTCGTCAGTGACCTAGACCCTGCATCTGCCACTGTAAAACTGATGTTTGCTGGTTTTAGATGTTTTTGCGTTCACCATTTTAAAACCGTACGCTGCTTTACCGAGGCATACCGACATGAATTTCCTTAAATTTCATCACGTAACGTCATTTCCTCTCAAAAGAGCAAAACTTACACAATTTGGTCGAGGCCTGCCGAAACAGCAATCTTTCAGTAATGCGTCAAAGCTACCAATAACACTGCCTATTTTGAGCTCAGTTTGTGTTTGCAGAAAGCATTTGTATAGGTAGGTCATGACCTGGAACAAGGTAACGCGCTCTGTGGTCATATGATCGCTGTGCATTTGAGCTATTACTCTTTTACTGATATGCAAACACCAAAACTGCGCGAAATGTGTACAAATTTACATTATTTGCAAAAAATAGGAAACATTTATCTGGTCTCAGGTCCATGACATCACTTGATTGGACAAATCTGAAAAACCCAGCAGTAGGTACCATCAAGTTTCATTACTACAGTAAGTTTGAACAATGCCAAACGGCCCACAAAAAAAGTTTCTAATGTTCAAAGTTGTTTAGTGGCTGAACTCTTTGACTTGACCGAGGTCACTGATCATGGCTGATGAATGTCTCAAATATGCACAAAGTAAAAACTTAAATGTGGCGGCGCAGGTTCGCTTTTAACCTCGAAAAAACCGTACAAGGGAAGTCCACTCTTCTCGGGCCGAGCGCGAGTTAACGGGAACGTTCCACATTTTAAGATATGGAAGCAAGCATCAGATAATATGAAATGAGCTCACGTATAACTATTTGTACAATTTGAAGTGGAACAGGCTGTTCTAGACAGCACAATGCCTGTTTTTAGCGAATATGCTCCTTGTTACGTCATGGTCTCATTGCGTCATCGTGGTTTGCATAACATTGAGATTTAATTGACGGTCGCTTTATATAAAAATTGAGCCCACGAACGCCAAATTTGAGCGAATCGACATTCATATTTTTCTTGGACTTGATCGTTGCATGATAAATGTAATAGCAGGATTTGAATGACGCTATCATGGCGTCACAGATGCCTGGGTGACTTTGAAATGGTTTCCATAGAATATTTCGTGAGTTTGAGATAAAATAAAATCCAGCTTCAAGTTCAGTTCAACTGAAATTGGAAGGGCATGGCTGTGAACTGCACCCAATGATCTTCAAGATGGCTATTTCAGTTCAAAACTCCGGGCCAATGTGGAACACTCCCCTTAACCGAGTCGTACATCATAGATATATGCTCAAAACACAAAAATATAAGGCCTTGTGCTCAGAACTTAACAAGGAGGAGTCTGTTTAAGTTTTGGGTCTTCTCAGGGTATAGACTCGTATGTATGGTGTTGTAATGCTGAAAAACGCAATTTTCTGGAACATTTGACCTTTGACCTGCCGCAGTGGGGTCAAATACTGACCTAACATGAAGACTAGTATCAATCGCAAGATTTCGCTCAGACCAATGCATTGGTGTTTTCTGCTAAACACTATATTTATTATTTTGGAAATGCCAGAGGGCGCATAACCCCCCCCCCCCCTCCCCGTTACCAGTCCGCGTTATGAAAATGGGAATTAAGGCAGCGGTTGATACCCGGAGGTAAGTCTTATCTAATGATCATTATTGAGCCAGTGAACACAAAGTGTTCAGATAATAGCATACACCTCGATTACGGACTCAATGAATCTCAGCTTACCATATGGGCTAGCAATGGGGTACTTCATATCGTGTTTTCTTGGCTGGACAATCATCCACCCTTGGTGTCATTTTGTATCTAAGAAGCCAAGGAATAGTTTTTAGTGCATCCAAACGTCGGGATGGGTGGGTTGGGGCCAGGAACTCTTATAGGATGCTTTGGAACGTTACATGTAAATTGCGGGTTGGATCGAGGAAAAGGTAATCTGCTGTGTAACTCCAGGTCGCTCAGACTCCTTTACCTTGGTATCTTGGCCGTGCGCCACGCATGCGCCAGCCCGGTGGCCCGCCCTTTTTCTTGGCTCACCTCTTCACCGAGAGTCGGCGACTGCTGTGGAAATAAACGTTATTCAGATTCGCTCAGTCGGCCTTTCGACCCACATCTCAAGCTCCGATTCTCCGCCACTGCATTTGGTCGCGGCGGATAACTGGGGTCGTTTTATCTCCGTTACGAACTATTTTTTCAGCGAACTTGGCAACATTATCAAGCGCAAGCTGAGGGTGGCGATGGTTTGATGTGCCACTTGTGGCACCCAGACGCAGTGATGAGCGTGTGCGAAACACGCGGACGCCGCCCAACAAAACCATAAAATTGAACAAATCATAGCGTTAACAAATTTGCATACGGCGCGACGGTAAATCAAAACAGGTCTTGTGGTGAAGACGAATAAACCATAAATTAGGTTCTGCGATGCAGGTAGCAAACATGCCATATTTAAAATCTTGTCCATGCAGAACGTGCAAAATATGCTGGAACAATAAGTCGAGCTTGGAACGTGAACAGAACTAACTGAAATAGTCCCGTTAGGAGTGGCAAAAATAAACGGAAGAGAAGGCTCCGCGGAATGAAAAGAGGTTGATAAAGCAAACTGGGGAGAACTTTCATGAACCATGCGAAGAAATTTTAGGCCATCTTTTCTGGCAATGAATGTGCCGATGCTTTTGAAGAGAACACAACATTGTGGAATTGAAAAGTGACAAAAGAATTCGTGAGCTCAGTCGTATCAACGTTTAGCACTTTCCTAGCAGTTGGTGAAGGAATGGATGGCTCTTGATATATGCATGCTTTGAATGAAACAGGCATACGGTCTTCGAATACAAATCCAGCCGAAACGTAAAGATGCAAATCAATATGCACGTGACGGGAAAGACAAAAACAAGGGGACTATGAGTCACATGAGCAAGTGTCACAAAACCTCGCGTACACATTTCGTCGCTTATATACCTCGCCGTCGCTTATAAACCTCGTCTCCTGTACATGGCTGGGTAGACGGACAGTCAATTTTAGACGGAGGGATGTAGACGAACAATCAAATTGCTCGGGTACAGCCACATTTAGTATCGCTCTCGTAGAGATGCCAAAATATTTTTTGATATAATATCAGAAAGTTGATATAGCTAGTTTTCAAATTGGGCGCGCGTCATCCAGATGACACCAGAGCAGAGCATTCCGAGCAAAGCACACACAGAGCGTCACGTTGGCAGGAGGTCGGGCATAAGTTGTAAGGAGTTCCAGCAATTGGAGGGTAAAATTACGCACATGACAGGCTTCAGTGCCACTTTGGAAATAGCACAGACCAAAAAGTATAAAACTGAGTATGGATAAGTTATGAGTACCAAGACATAGAAGGAAACATTATCCGCGGGAACTACATGTGGGGTGTCCGGCGACGTTTTCACCTGAGAAAGAAAATATGGATATAGCGTGAACATCAAGGTGTAAAGCAATTGAGTCAACAAATACAGAAAAATAAGACGTGCGTGTTGTAAAGGGTGCAGACCTTATAACATAAAGGAACTATGTACTTTTATTTTTTGTAGAAACATTGACATGCGGAATTCTAGTGATTCATATATATATATATATATATATATATATATATATATATATATATATATATATATATGTATATACATATATGTACATATACATGATATGTATATACATGCATGTATATACGCATATATATAAATAAATCTCATGAAACATTGCAATATTTTCAATGGAGAGCCGCGGTCAATCCGCGCTATACCCTGGCACCTTCATGGGCAATCTGATGCACCATGGCATCTGCGGGAATGAGAAACGCTTAGTCCTTGTTCATGAGCCGAAACGGCGTGGCTTCCGCAGAAGTTCTTGCGGTCGAAGATGCTACCCCGGTTGATCAGGCCGGGGACCGACGGGATGGTCTGGGGCCGGAGCTGGCCACATTTCTTCAAGCAAGGCAAGAGTGCCTTCTTGCATGTAATCTACGTCAGGATGAGCACCTCTCAACCTCCATGGCTCAGCCGGCAGCGTAATGGCCTTTTCAGCACCAGCAGAGCAGCGACCATGGTTGTCAACAAAGGGCATTTCTAGCTAATCGTTCAATGTGATGCAGCAACGGGGGTGTGAGACGAGGCCATTAACATTTGAGATAGCTTTTTAAACAATGAACCTATTGAATTCAGCATTGCATCAATTTTATCGACCTAGGGTCAGGTATGAAGGTCAGAAGGAGGCCAAAACTAAGCTGATTTTTTACTCGAGAGCTTGTTTTTATCAGGCAGTTTCTGGTGTTCATTTCAAGTTCGTTGATGACAGGACCGCAGAAGACATGTTTCATGGACTTCTTAAAGTTTTGAGTAGGTCACTGACCTAAAGTGACCTTGGTCAACATTTTGTTTTTAGGAACATGTCACCTAGCACAATTCCTGATGCTTATTAGAAGGACAAAATAGCAGCAATCTTGTGAAGAATTAACCACCTTGACCTTACAAAGGTCAAAAAAGGTCACTAACCTGATCTGCTTTTTGATTAGCCCAGGCATCTAGCTTCACGGCGGTTGCATGGGGAGGTCAGGCTGCACTCGAGACAGCAATCTGGAGTTTGACCTTGTTTGACGTCATCTGACCCAAAGGTCATAACCTATGAACCCAAATTTGGAAATAACTGATTTCTCGCATAGGTCAATCTACCCTGGTAATTTGGCATCTCTAGCGATCTTAGTTTTTAAGATCTCGGGTGGGTCAAATTTATTCCCGCCCGAGAGAAGGGTATTCAACCGGCCATCCGGGCGTGTGTTTATCGTGCATTGCAAATGGCCTTTTCTGGTCTCCAAGGCAGTAATGCATGCCTACATGTTGATATCTTGATTGCAAGTCGAAATTACAAGGAACATTTGGAAAAGCTGAATCGGGTTCTAACACGTTGAGAAAGACTCGATCTGTTTTAGATCCCTCAAAGTGTTGTTTCCTGCAACAGCAGATCCGTCGACTTTCAATCGACCTACTTCCGTGAGAGGTTAATTGTGGTGTTTAGCTCCAGGTCACTCAGATTTCTTCTTTTCTAGGTGTCAAAGACATGAGCGTGGTGCGGTGCCGGCTGAGCGGTATCTTGGCTGTGCGCCACGCATGCGCCAGCCCGGTGGCCCGTCCCTTTTTCATGGCTCGCCTCTTCACCGAGAATCGGCAACTGCTGTGGAAATAACTGCTTTTCATACTCCTTCAACCGGCCTTCCGACCCACACCTCGGGCTCCGATTCTCCGTTACAACAGTAGCCACCTAATCCCCACTTCCCCCACCCCCAACCCTGACCTGCAAAATCCCGACTGCGAGTTTGATTAGTGAAAGGAAGTGTCATAACTTTTGAACATATTTCAAAAAACAAATACTCTGGGAAACCTCGAAATGAGATGCGTCCGATACTAGCAGAGTATTGGCACCGCAGCACCAAGCCATAGGAAAAAGCGCTTCAAGACATTTCCATACCCTTGTGGATACCCGAACTGTAGCTTCAGAAGTCAATGGAGGACATTGCAGCGACGCATGTCAAAGTTTCATCTGGAGCTCCCTGCTGCTGGGTGGAGCAGCGGCTTTCACGTAAACTGTTGATTGCGGAGCATCGCTGTTGTAGGCCTTCCACACTGCCGGTCGCACCTCAGACTGGGCGTTCTGACCGGCGACCAGGCACTTGGATAAGGCGCTTTTCCATTTATTGTACTATGTATAGTGCCAAATCAAGGCAATAAAGGTGTTCACGTACGCATTGGGCATTTGGCTTCATACTAAGCATGAGTTCTGCGCCGTCAATGATTAGGCGAAGATAGCAAAGGTCGGTAACGCTTCCAGCTAATTGTACAATGTTGTTACAAAACAAAAGATGATATTTTTCAGATGCTTGTAGGCTGATGTCATCGGTAAATGTATGGCCACAGGGATGCAGTTTTCAAAATAAGTAAGGTTGAGGGAGGGAAGGTGGTGCAGGAAGAAAAATGGCTGAGCCAGCATGCAAAACGCACTTCAAACAGATTTCTCCCCAGATTTGACGCATGTTCTTTTCAGAGCTGGGAGCAAGGGCGTAGTGTCTGAAAAAAATGGGGGGGGGGGGCTGAAACCTAAAAATGATGGTAAATAAAAATAGTCAACAAAAATGATAGATACAACTGGAAAACTACACTCCTGGTTATGAGGTACAATCTCCCCCCTACTGCATAGGAAACTACACTCCTGTAGGCTGATTATGTTACGTATACCTTCGTCTGATAATTTTATTAGTTTAGTCTAAACCACCATTCAGTGTTTGATGGCCAAAAAATGATACACATGTGCAAATGAACTACCGAAACAAAAATGCTGGATAGTTATGCCGCATCGTATTTCATCGGTCTTTGTTTTTATGGTTTATCGCGTTTTTAACTATGTTATAACGGTTTCTGATAGATTTGGCTCTAGGTAACAGTTTGGACGGCTCCAAATCTCGTCGGTGACGGGAAAGGCGCTTTTCACCCCCGCCCGCGCCTTGCATGACTACATATTACGAGCTGAGTAATCGAGAGAGATCAACACGACCACCTCCACCAAGGAGGGTGCTCTCATCAGGGCATTTGCCTCGCTGATGCGAAACCTATGGGACAGCCCAGATGAGGCTGACCGGGCGCTGACTACCTCACTATTAAGGAAACAATTCCGTCGTTTTACGGCCCGATTCACGGGCAATCAGCAGCAGGACACACAAGAGCTTCTCATATACTTGCTGGAGACTTTCCGAGGGCGTGAACCATTTTGACAACCAGCTCGACCCCCCCCCCCCCCTAAGCACACACACGACAGCTTCAGTGCTAGCCAGAAACCGCTGGAGGCCTGGAAGCGGCTCTTGTTTCTGAAGAACTCGAAGTGCGTTGATCTGTTTGTCGGACAGTTCAAGTCCACGCTGCGGTGCACGGTGCGCGGCCACGCTGCGGTGCACGGTGCACGGCCACGCTTTAGAGACGTTTGACTTCTCGGACGTGAGCCTGCCGATCCCATCCATGTTGGGTGAGGTGCGCTAGCTCGACCGCTCTGACAATTTTAACCGAGGAAGAGGTACTCGACGGAGAAGAAAGTCCGAGGGCTTCATGTGCCAGACGTCCCAAAAGTATTCCAAAAACTTCAAGATTCAGAGCTTCCTACGCATGCTTGTAATGCACATAAAATGGTTCTTACTGCAGCTGGGTCAGAACGGACACAAGCTCCACACGACAGCGGACTCCACCCGTGGTCTGGACCTGTCGTCATACTTTGCCGTATCGGGAGACTGGATGTACGAGCTGTACAGCGTGATACTGCACGCTGGCGTGGTGCACACGGGCCACTACACGGCCCACTGTAAACAGCGCTATTTGGAGTCCGGTACGAGTACTACGAGTCCAGCCCATCCGCAAGCACCGCGCCCGCAATGCGAAGCGGACATGCTCCTTTTGAGTTGGCCAGTCATTCGCCTGGTGCCGACCTGAATGCTTGTACTCGAAGGAGTTCGACATGGCTGTCACACATAGAAGAAGCTTGCAAAATAAGCACATATTGTTGCATGCATCATACCTAATACGCACTTCTGTCTGGCTCAAAAATTACAGATTTGTGATAAGCGAATGCAATAGCTTGGTACGTTTGATAATATGGTAAACCATGTATTCGAATTTGTGATGTAGAACGCTGTTCTTCAACCGTTTGTTGATTTGCTTTATTACTGTTTGGAAACCACTGAGTTGGGTTCAATATTGTTATATTATAAATACATTATGACGCATACGGACATACATGTTAGGGAGACGGTACACAAACGCAAATTTACGCATAAATACACAGTGCATTCACAAGAAAAACGCAGAGCCTTGGTGCAAGATTTACGAACATCAGAGAATGTGTTCTGACGAAGTGTTCCTCTCGTTGGACGTGATCAACTCACGAAATTCGCGACAAAAAACGCTGCAGTTATCCTGCGGTCCTGGTCGACAAAATCGGATTCAAGTCGTGCTTAAAGAGCGTTGCAAATTACTTGCTGATGAACATGACTCTGAGCGCACCCGCCATGAAAGACAGACTTGTGCTCTGACAACAGTCGGGCGGATGACACAGGTCGTGGCTTGGTTGCATCGGCGCAGCTTAATAGCGATGGCCGCGTCATCTGGCGACCTGAGAGTAGCGCCACCTACTCAGCCTTCGAACCGCCGTTTTGTTCAGTAGCCATACGACTGCTTGGGCGGAGCGACGTTCCCTTCGGGTCCGGACGCGGCTCCGGCGAGGTTAGCCTCTCCTTCGTACTGAAAACACATAAAACACATGATACATGGCGCTCTCTTGCAAATGCGGTTAGAAGGGAATTGCACATGGGCATATGCTCTGCATGCAATGCATCTGTTACGCGGCAAATAGGCTGCTTCCGCAAAATATTCATCAAGACTAACACCAACTTGTTACCATTGTATTTCTGAAGTGTTTTTATAGTTTCTGCACTTGTTATTTGTTTGAATTAAATTCAAAAACTGATATATGCGAAGCACTTGGAAAATATATCAACCTGGATATCAACGACGAAGCCGGAGTCTCCGTCCACGGAGTAGTTGACGATCTGCATCCTGCCGTCCGGCATCAGCACGTAATAGGAGCCCGAGGTGCTGTCACCGTCTCGGGTCTCCTGCTGACCGAAGTCGTTGCCGCTCTCTTCGTCTTTTACGGTGTATTCGAAGTTATACGCCGCCGGCTCCTGGGAAAAACTTGGCATGAACGGAAGATTTCACAGAAGACGGTTCACACGATTTGCAGCTGCCAGTCTGATCACATAGCCTTTCCCCTTGATTTTTGTGTAAGTTGATGCCATAATCGAGCGCCAGTTGTTGCACTGATGTGCTTGCATGTCTTAACCGACACCCTTGCATTATTAATCATGAAATGACCTTTCTGCAACTGAAAGTCCTCACATTACCATTCTGGTGTCTTACCTCTGCGATGCTAGGTTCCGGTCCCGAAGCGGCACCAGCAGGAGCTCCATATCCAGACTGAACACTGGGCTCTGGTCCCGAAGCCGCAGCGGGAGCTCCATATCCAGGCTGAACGCTGGGTTCGGGTCCCGAAGCGGCACCAGCAGGAGCTCCATATCCAGACTGAACACTGGGCTCCGGTCCTGATGCTGCAGCAGGTGCTCCATAGCCCCTTGACCTTGAGACACTGCGTGCTGCCGCTGTGGCAGCGGCGGATACAGGGGGAGGAACACCGGAGAACCCGCTGAAGCCGCCACGGTTTTCAGGCCTGGCGATGGCGAGGCCAACGGCAACAAGGACTAGCAGAACCTGAAAAGATGTAAAATGACGTGATTGCGGATTTCTGAGCACATTCCCTCAATCATTGCACTCTTGTTAGTCTCCAGAAAGAAGCGGGAAGCTGCCGAACAGTTTAACGATGAGAGTGCGTCCGAGCAGTTTAACGTTGAACGTGCGGACCCGCAGTCTGTTAACCTGGCCTTGCCTGTGCGGAAACTGTATCGTCTATTGGCAAGCTGGGGCGGCGATGAAAGAAATACGGCAAACAGTTCTGACGAGGGCTCGTGCGGGTAACGGATATATAGCGAGTAGGTGCTTCTTGGCAAAGTCCAAAGCCAGAAACTCAAGCTTGTCTTAAAGGCATCAGGCACTGTTCTGCAATGCGACGATTGCAGCTGAGAAAACGCATCATATCGCCCATCTGAATTGTCGTATACGCAAAAGCTTGTCACACATCTGAGCAAAGTCGGTGATAGTGCTGAATCTCCACAGCCTCCCGTCCCCTGCGCCACGTCCCGTCGCTGCCGTTACCTTCATGTTGGTTTCCTGCAGCACCGTACTGGGGGGATCTGCAGCGGACGAAACGGTGGAGCTTCTGGTGATGACCGCTCGCGCTGGCCGCTTTTATGTGGTGCCGACCGGCCCAGATGGCGCGCGGTTCGGCGGGCCGGCGTAACAGGCACAGTCGGCAGAAGAGGGCACGAGTCCAGCTGCATCACATACACCTGGAAGCCCTACGGTCCAGACTCTTGACCTATATGTAAGTGTGCGAGGTACCAAGCTTTCAAGCAGTCTCACAGGCGATCCAAATGTCTGCTTGATCTTTGCACGTCTGTTTAAAAGTTTAAATTTTCTGAGTTTGCATCATGAACGGTCTGGCTTTTGGTGAATGCGCCACATCGGACTGCGTAGCATATTCTTGTGTTTGAGCCCTCATGTCAGAATGGCGGGTTCCAAGTTATAATGACATCTTGGCACGTGCACACTCTCTGGTCTGTCACGTGCACAGTCTGGATGACCACATATTGTTGTTGATGAAAGGGCGCGCCTTTTGAGAACTCAAGCAGCACCGTTTGCCGCAGCACATACATTGCATTGGAACTCATATCGACATCTGCCATCAAGGAGTTGCGATTCTGCGCAGACGTAGTGCGCTATTTGCCAACAAATGGCATTCCGTCGTATACTTTAGGTGTACCGCACGAATAATGTTCTATACAAAGTCATTTTATAGGGTACAGTATAAAAAGTGTAAAGAAGGGCGTTATCAGTGATGTTAAAAGTTGCCTAGGCAAGCGTTTGTGTCGTTTCGATAGAAAACAGCTACGTTGGCCAAGCAGTAGATGCGAATGAGTTCACATCAAATAAAAAGCAAATAATTATAACGGGCAATACGGTACTTTCAAATGAAATTCTATGAATGCCGGGGGTGTTAATAATAATAAAACTGCTTGGATGCGCTCCAACAGGTTTCTAGAATTTATTTTAACTATGTCATGATTCGGTGAAATTGTGTATTATACGGGTGCGTCTAAGTGAATTGCTTTGTCAGTGTATTTCCGGCTGCATATGTGCACGCGTCATCGGATGAGCGCGGCAGCTGTTTTTTTTTTTGCACATCATGGACAACTATAGCGATCTATATAAATGTGAATTTAGGGGCTTATCGTATAATTAAATCAATCTGAATGTCATACGGACTGGTGAGGAAGTGCGTCTGTCGTATATGCTGCAAAACATTTGGCGTGTGTTTCCCAAGGATATCGGGGTGCCGCCAACTTACTTCCAAGATGTCGTGTGGTACATGTTATGTCAGTGATGCAATGTACAGACCATATGTCATTGACTGGCTTTTTGTCAATGATCAAATAGCATGACTGTCATGACTTGCTGTCATCCAGAAAACAAGTCGACAGTTACATTATCCATGCCGACCCATAACTGTCGTTAACAAACACTGATTGACAATTAGGGTAGAGAGGTGTTATGTCGCAAATCACGACGAATTACAAAAAGCACAGACAATCACATTTCATACGCTGCAATGCGTCCAACTTGTTTGCGATGCAACTTCCTCCATGACAAAAATAACATAAGCACAACTTTTCACACCATGTCATACAATTTACCCCAGGGTGGGGTAAGTAGCCCCATTTGAAAGAGGTCATTAAGAAGTCAGTTGCCAAGGAGCGAGGACGTGCTCTCCAAACTTTACCACAACATGCGATCGTGGTAGCGGTAGTGGGCAGTGGTAGTTATAGCAGGAGAGGGCTGAAAGTAAAAACTGATGCAACTCTCTCTCTCTACTCTCCCCCATGTGTAGAAACATGACATATAGCTTGACACACTTTTGAACAAAATGAGTGATACCTAGTAGTAAACATCGGTCTAAATAAGTCAGTAATGGTTATCTCAGTAACACAAAAGTCGGTAATACCTAAGTCAACGCATTATCTCCGGGGTTAAGGGTGCAAATGAGCCTTGGTGGGCTATGCCGCTATCCCCGGGCTACTCAGGTTATCTTATCAGTGGCGGCATGTCGAGTTTGGGGTGGGAACCAAACAACATCCGATGAGTCTGTATCTCTGAAGTCCCTTTGAATCTGAATAGGCCCCAGTACCTGTGTCACAGATTTGCGGCGCGGTAAAACAGTCCTGATGAGGCGAACATCAGTGGCGCAGAACGCCCCGATGTGACCTGTGCCGAGAGAAAACAGTCCTGATGAGGCGAACCTCAGTGGCGCAGATCACCCCGATGTGACCTGTGCCGAGGGAGAACAGTCCTGATGAGGCGAACCTCAGTGGCGCAGATCGCCCCGATGTGACCTGTGCCGAGGGAAAACAGTCCTGGTGAGGCGAACCTCAGTGCGCAGATCGCCCGATGTGACCTGTGCCGAGGGAAACAGTCCTGACGAGGCGAACCTCAGTGGCGCAGATCGCCCCGATGTGACCTGTGCCGAGGGAAACAGTCCTGGTGAGGCGAACCTCAGTGGCGCAGATCGCCCGATGTGACCTGTGCCGGGGAAAACAGTCCTGGTGAGGCGAACCTCAGTGGCGCAGATCGCCCCGATGTGACCTGTGCCGAGGAGAACGTCCTGTGATGAGGCGAATCTCAGTGGCGCAGATCGCCCCGATGTGACCTGTGCCGAGGGAAAACAGTCCTGGTGAGGCGAACCTCAGTGGCGCAGATCGCCCGATGTGACCTGTGCCGAGGAAACAGTCCTGTGAGGCGAACCTCAGTGGCGCAGATCGCCCCGATGTGTCCTGTGCCGAGGGAGAACAGTCCTGATGAGGCGAACCTCAGTGGCGCAGATCGCCCCGATGTGACCTGTGCCGAGGGAAAACAGTCCTGATGAGGCGAACCTCAGTGGCGCAGAACGCCCCGATGTGGCCTGTGCCGATGGAAAACAGTCCTGGTGAGGCGAACCTCAGTGGCGCAGAACGACCCGATGTGACCTGTGCAGGTCTTAGCCCCGAACTTAGAGAACGGAATGGCTTTTCGCTATTTCTTCGCCTCCTGCTTAATGAGTCGCGAGAGAGCGTGACGCAAGGGACCACAGATATAATACGGATCATAAAATAGTCCCAGGGCTGTTACCACAGTTCGCTGGCTGTTGGAATGTTTAAGAAGCGAGCAGGTAAAAGTCTATTTCATTGAACAAACAATTAGGAATGCCTGATATTTGAGAACCAAACCCGGATTGGCGCATCCGCTTTGTTCAGCTTTTAAGAAACATTAAAAAGGAGAACGTTTATTGCTTATTTAGCGCTTAAGTATTACTAAGTTTGTTTGAAGAATGCTCCCAGAAGACTCCACAACAAAACCGTCTGGCCCTTAGCGTGCATCATATAAAACTGCATAGTGTCACACACTATTCCGATGTGTTGATTGAAACGACTGCATTATTATGGCCTTGTTGTCGGCTGGTTTCGCGCCCTTGGCCAACATTGCTCTATAGTCACTTATATAGTCACTGATCGTCTCAGACACCTCTGATGTCCTGGGCTGACGCGCTTGCTGATGATGGCTTTGATCGCCTGCTGCTCACTCCGAGCCGGTATATGGGCGCTTCAGTTCCCGCAGAATCCTCGAGTTCTTTTAACGCCTTGAAGTACGTTTTGATTTCCCGGAACGAAACAGGTGCCAGGATCTCAAATGACCTGTATGCGAATTGTCAAACTTAGTCCCGGTCACCGGAGATAGTGCTGCCAAAATTTGGGTGTACACCCAGGATCACGTGAGGTCCTCTCATGAAATATAAAAGCAGCTTGCTTCTACATACCAAATATCTTTTGACGGCATGTCAAAAGGCTTCCAATATCCTATGTCAATTCCCTATTTCCAGTTGCCCTATCAGTTCTTTGGTCGCTGGGAAATTTATGCTTTGGTAAGTACACGCATTGCAAGCCCACCATAAGACAGGCAGTTGATGTGTCACTTAAGATTAGCGTGTAAAAACCAGCTAACAGAAACAGCGTTTGGATTCAAACAAAAGCACTACTCTGCGCGCAAACAACGCTGGACAAATGCCGTCGGCCGCGCGCAGCGTTACAGATTTCCAGGCTGCACCCCCACCGACCATGTTCTTATTCGAACATGCTGTCATGCCTCAGATGATAAAGATCATGAACGTCGGAAAACTGGGGTACATTATGATACTTAAATCATTGAATGACATCAATGTCCGTAGGTATTTGAACACTAGGGCCTGCAGCTGTGAATGAAAGGGGGAAACGTAGCCTCTCTGTAAAGTGAACCATTGTGTCCGAATTAAAACAAGCATTATTTGCACTTTCTGCTGTCAGTTTTACCATCTAGGCGATCGAATGAATATTACATAATTTCAGTGAGCCATGCTTCTGATCCGTCCCGCTTCCTTGTTGTCGCACCCGGGATTATTCATGGGGTGGCTATCTCTGAGCGTCCCGAATCCCGCTGCCCATTTCGAGAACGTTCGGCCGACGCTGTGGCTTTTTGTCCTCGCAAGAGTTCCTCGAATTTTACATTTTTAGGGCTACATTTCATTTCGAGGGCAGAATTTCGGAGTCAGCGTGTCACTTCACTGTTTCGTGTTTTCCCTGAGTTTCTCCGGCGCCTGGCTATTTGCGCCGTCGACAGCACCTGGATCTTTGTAACGATATTGTAGCCCTTTGTCTGTGTTGGGCCCTGTTGTATCCAACTACCCCATCCAGCATCCTCTCGGGACGTCTTGCCAGTATCAGCACCCCTGGTCGTCTCGGACCAATATACTTCCATTAAGACCACATCTAATCAACCCTTTGACCATTTTTGGGCTATTGCGCGTCTTTGTACTACTTAGTCGCTTTGAAGCCCTGGATGCCTGTAAGTCCCTTGGCTGATGTTTGGACCATCCTTGACATCGTACCATCTGTGACCGTGTATACAGCGGTTTTTGTTTATCTGCCCTTCTAACGCCACTGTGCCGTTTTGCGATCCATGGCTCTCTCTGACCCGTCGGCTATCTGAATAGGCTTGGACGCCTTGAGTAACGTTGGTTATCATGTGGTCATGACCACCTCAGCAGATTGGCTCCGACCATGCAACATGCGGAGGTTGTACGCTCCACGGCC